CCCCAAAACCCCAAAACCCCAAAACCCCAAAACCCCTATATATTCATGATTCGCGGAATTATTAATAAATTAAATTTGCATACAAAAATGAGTGATTCAGAGCATAACCAAATTGAGATTTCCGAGGATGGATCAGGTAACAACCTACTTCACAGTCTTAACAGAGCATAGAAGAGGTCAAGGAAGTCAACCTTGAAGAAGTCAAACGAAAAGAAAAGACCAAAAAGATTAAGGCTAAGAAAGGCAAGAAAACTAAGACTGCTAGCCGGAGAAGTTCCAAATCTAGATCTCGAAGGTCCAGTACTAGGAAATCTAGAGAACCTTCAGTGAGAAAATCTAAAAAGTCTGAGATTCAGCCAGACTCACAAGACCCAGACTTCTCTGTAAATATTGATGAAGATGAAGATGAACAGAGTTTAGAGCTTGATGGGGAAGCCTTCGATGATCTTGAAGAGGAATTTGAAGGAGAGAAAAAGACTAAGAAAGCCACTAAAAAGAGCAAGAAAGCCACTAAAGTGCCAAAATCCAAGGAAGCAGATAAGAAAAAGTCTAAATTAGACCAACCTAAGAAAAAGAAGAGAGAAAAGAAAATGATGAATGATGTTGAGGCAAAGGAGGCGTACGAATTTCATATCTTAGAACTTACAGTAGAAGATAGGAATTAGATATCCAGTAGATTTTGATAGATTAGAGCCTTAGTTCGATAGACTTCACTCAGCATAATTCTAATGTACCCATAGTATCTCCAAGTATATGGAAGCCCAGAATCGGCCATACAGTATTCAGAATATGTAAGTCAAGATATTACTCATGTACAGTATTGATAACCTCAGAGGAGAGATTAGAAAGGCCCAGACACAGAAAATACTCGATGCCCTAACAGAGGAGAATATCCTTACTTGTAAAGAATACGGGAAGGCCAAGATATACTTGATCAATCAGGATATCTTCCCTGAGACAACAAATGAAGACCTTGAGAAACTTGATAAAGAGATCGATACTAAAAAGAAAGAATTCGAAGAGTTAGTTTTTTAAGTAATTTTTGATCTAGACTTGATGCCAAACTAAAATCTTTGAATAGTGACTTAAGGAAGATCAAAATAGAGCCAACCAATGCAGAGCTAGATGCTGAGCTAGAAGCCCTCACTTCAGAGAATCTAAGGCTGGAGGGAAGACTTGAAGAGTACGGAGACGTACAAGAAGATAGATGTAAGCAGTACTTTTTCATCCTTTATTTGACAAATCTTATAGCTATATCAATTGACGATATTGAAAAACAAGAGAAGCTGTTTAGCAAAGAATGGAGGGTGAGGAAGAAAGGCTTCATGGAAATCATTGACACCATCTCAGAAGCTCTTGAGAAGAAACCTAAAGAACTTATGGAAGAGATCGGTATTGAGACTGACGAAGATTACAATGTAGTATGACCTAAGAAATAAATTCAATAATTGAAAAGTTATACGGGGTTTTGGGGTTTTGGGGTTTTGGGGTTTTGGGG